TACTGCTACATCCCGAAATAACATTTAAATATCAATATAAATAAAAAAACAATTCAAAGATTTACACATTTTCGAATATTTACCTGGCAAAGTTCACAATATTCACTTTTATTATTTGAAAAAGATTTATATAGCTTATGACAAACCAAAAAAAAAGAACTTTGTAATCATAATAGCTTTCTAATACTAAGAATCCAAAAAAATATTATATATATTTTCTATTATAATATGATAGTAACTATTTATCAGTTCTATGTAATCATATACTAGCCTATACGTATATACTATATATAAAAAACTTCTAAGACCTTCTAACTTTATTTTCTTTTTAGGTAAAATGGTATTCAAATACCTTAAATCTATAACTATTCTCTGTTTTTTAAATTCTTTTTTAGGTAACAAAAAAACAGAACTCTCTTCTAGAAGAAATGTAGGTTTCTCTACTTGATTTTCTAACAACTCTATTGCTATAGATAATAACAAATAATCCAACTCTTTTTTATACCTATTCTTTTTAGTTTCTTGATAATACATACTGTTTTGGAGGTCTATTGTATTACAAGTAAAAGATTTTTCTTGAGAACAATATGATCACATTTTTTAACCAACTTATTACTACTAGTAAAAGCTCTATTTTGTCTTGCTAATAACTTAAAGCTTCATCTATTCTATTACTAACATCTAGTTCTTCATCTTTTCTAGATTTATATTGTATATTTCTTTGATAAGAGGGTCTAAGTATAGTCAGTTTTTATTCTTTGGTTTAACAAGGCTCTAGAATCTGAAAAAAGATAGCTAAAAGTAATATATCTAATGCTTTTACAGTTGAAGCAGTTAAAAACTTCTTTATGTTCTAAGAACTTGAAAGCTATTTTGTTATAAAAAGATTAAAATCTCTTATAATATCTCTTTTTATTTTTATAACTTTCATCTCTTTCTGAATTAGACAAAGATAAGAAATGTCTTTTTCTCTTGTATCTATATAGTTTACTAGACTTATTCTGACTATAATAGTGTGAGACTGTATCTAATTAATTAAATAATAGAATGTAATTTTTGTATTTTTTTATTATTACTACCAACTATCTGTAATGCTATACTCTAACTCTTGTTATTAGCTAATATTAGTGTAGCTGCTCAGGCCTCGATTTTATCTCTAATACTATCAAAATCCTTCTTAATAGCTGCTCTTATGCTTTGTTCAAATGTTTGCCAATCCTCATCAAGAAATCATACTCATGCTGATTATGTGGCTTCAACAAACTAACCTTAGGCTACACTTTATCTAATAAATCACTCTTTTATATTTATTTATATAAGGCAGAGAAATTTCTTTCTATCTTTATTTTGATTTTACCTATAACTAACAGGAACATCTTCTTTTCTCAAGAATGACCAACTAACTCATCTTTTAATCCTATTGTTTGCTTCCTATGAATATGTATACACATCATCTACCTCAAAGTCAGTATCCCTTTCATCATCCTAATCTCTTTCATTAGCATCTATTCTGGATACTTCAATAATATCACTCAGATCTTCTTCATCTTCTTGTCAGTAGCTTTTCTTTTATTCTTTCTGAAATATGCCTAGAGCCTATTGCTCAAGTTCTCCTTATTTCCTATATCAGATAAACCACATGAAATACTTAAGTCTTTTAATTCATTTAACGTCAACTTAGACCAGCTTATACCTGATATATAGGAATACTAAAATTTAATTGCAGAGAAAATTAAGATTGGATTTATTTTATATTTGTAATAGTTTATTTATTTATATTATATATAATAATATAATTAGATGATACAGTAGTAAATGATAGAGCCAGCTTTAACACAAGGTAAAAGATAGTAAAAAAAAAAGATAAATCTACTAACAACTCCAAAAATCTTTAAATAACTATTGTTTGACAAAGGTGTCTTACACCTACATAAGAAACCCATACTCCTTATTCTGACAACAATAACTTACTATGAAGAACTAATAACTATAATATCATTATATACGATCAAACTATTATATCTACTTAAAACTAGCAAACTATTAACTAATTACAAATATTTCATATAAGACTAAATAGTAAATTTCTATATAACCTGAGTTCTCTAATCTCGAAATAATGATCACTCTATTACTTCATTAACAAGCTTTTTAGCAAAATAGTTATCAGGAAAATCTATTCAATCTTTGTAATATACAACATTACCATTCTTAGTTTAGTACAATTATGCTATACAACTATCTAATTAGATACTTAGACAATATCTTATTATTCTTCGCCATAGCTAGAGTACTATTCAATAGTTAAAAAATTACTAGAAAATATATTATAAAATATAGTATAAACCTTTACTTAATTACTGAGTAATAGACAATATTTAAATATAATTACCATATTTTAATAATATAGAGTGTCGTCAACTAAAAAGGCCTATTTTTACATATATTTCATTATGAGATAATTATTTGTTTTGATTTTCGAACTGACCTGAATTAACCAAATTTCATGATTTTGATTAGTTAAAAGTAATAGGAGTGACCGTCCTATCAATTTTAAAGATCATTATACAATTGATAAAAAATTTTTTATTTGTTTTACAATGCTATTTCGAAGAACTCACGTAATCTATCTTTGCTATGAAAAATGAACAAGTGTACTAAGTAAAATTGAAGCTTTCGTAACGTATTTTAATAATATCAGTTAAATTTACTTGAATTCACCAACTTTTATACTACAATGAAAATATATCAGAACTGAAATAATATATAAAATATACTATTACTAGACTGTCAAAATTTAGTTTGTTATGCAAAAAAAACATGAATAAACTAAAAATAATAATTTTACGAAGTAAGGTAAGTAGTAAACTTTAGTAAACGTTGGTATATAAGCTTTTTTATATTTATTGTATTCGTTTTATTAGAAATCTTCTAAGTTTAAATACAATAGTTTAAAAACAATTTACTAACTATTATATATACTATGTATATCTTTATTTTTTATTATCGAGATGTAATTTTTGTTAGAATGTAATAAAGAATTCATATCCAATATATGCGAGCATATACATATTAGAATTTTAAAGGTTTAATAAAGTAATTAGTATTACAAACAAGATGTTTAGGTTTTTGTTATATATGATGAAATATATACTGTATACCATATAGATTTTCTGTAACAATAATAATTAAATGTTAGATATATAATAGATAAATTGAATAGATAGAATTATGCTTGCTTACCTTATGATAAAATCGAATTAAGCTTTAAAATGAAATTTTTAATTTCACTACAATTTTATTTCTTCATTTTTTTTTTATTTTATTAAAATCGAAAATTGATTGGTCGATCAGCATGTGACATTTTGTATTTACGATTTTAATTAGTTAGGAGATTTACGGAAGTGATCTACAATTGGTGTAACCTGAACAGTCGCTCCTGTTGTTAAAAGTAACAGGTGACTATCAGGTAATCTCGTGATATTTGGCTTTGTATAATTTTTCTTATGCAAATCGACTTTCAAAATATACATGAATCTAATAAAAACTCATTTTTTTTAAAAATGTAAAAATGGGCCTTTTTAGTTGATGACACTCCATATATTTTTCTAATAAAAAATACTACTTTTCTACCAATGATGTTTAATCGGTGCTCATGTATAATATACTGTAGATTTTTTTTAAAAAAAGTTGTTTAGTACATGATATAATATTGAAAATACTAAAATCACTAGCAGCTACTGAGTAGATTCTTTTCAGTTCCAACTCTTATAACGCTCTCACTTCTATTAATTAAATAACCACGTTTTCCTTTACTATTTTTATTTTGATAGTATTGTTCGATTTTTAAAATTTCTGAAACCAAGAATTGTATATCTTCTTCAATGTTTTGATTATTCATTACTGAAATCTTAAACCTAATTTATTAACATATTAAGAATTAATTATTCAAACAGAATTTTAACAAAATTAAGTAATTAATCAATTACTATTTTACGAATCCTTTCTCTTTACTATATTGTGATATTTCAATGTCTTCATGGTTTAGGTCATACTACAAATAATATGTAAGATGAAAGTTTAGCTAATAAATTTTAAAAAACATAATATATAAATTCATATTCTCATTAATGTTATTAGCCAACAATATGACCGGAATAGGATCACTGCCTCAAATTTTAGGTAAGGTTACATTCTTATTCAAGTAAGATTTCTATTTGGTAACTTCTTCAAAAGTATGAGACTGTATTATGTCATATACAATGAGGGCCTCAAGAGCTCCTTTATAAAACTAATAACAAAATATAAAAATTAAGTTTTATAAAAGAATTTTGATTGAATATATCATTATTAATATTTTTTTGCAAACTTACTCTCGTAAACATCCTACAATTGTAATCTAACAACTGTGTCTGAAGATTATTGTAAGACCTTTTGATTAAAGTCAACTCCAATCTTATTATTAAAAAATAACAATAATGTTAAAAAAAAAATATTAGATTATTTATTTATACAATTCTTAAACCTGATATCTCATATAGACAGAGTAAAAAGGAAGCTTAATACACCCAAATCAAGTAACATGATTATGAATCAAAAAGATGATTTTATAATTAAATTCTTTTTTAAACTGTTTGTCTCAATCAAAAACTTAGTCTATATTTTAATATTAATACTCACTATACTTTTATTGCACATAGAATATTGATTGTTAATATATCGTCTGATTATACATATTTTTCCTGTTTGTAAGTTACCTAAAACCCAAAGTTTATATTGATATTCTTTCTTTACTGTTAGTTAAATCAGTAAAAGAAAGAAAAGTTTTCAAGCGAAATACTGGAATTAAGAATATTATTAGATAGGCTATGTTCCTACTATACAAAATTAACTAAAAAATAATGAAACAAAAATACTATAATTTAAATTAGAAGATGAATTAATTTTTTTAAAATTCTTTATAATAGTGGTCGTACTAAAGATATTTGATCTCTAAGAAAAAAAATATTGTGAAAGCAAAGAATTTTAAAAAGATCTCTCATATATATAATTTTTAAAGAGTATTTGTTAAAAGATATTTTTATCATTATGTTTGGTTAAATGCAATTAGATTCTTTGATAGGTAAAACAATTGTAACATTAGTCTAACTTGATTAATAATGCCTGACTAATAACGAAACTTTTGTCAGGCAACATCGAATTGACAAAATGACGAATAACAAAACTTATGACGAATCATAATTTTATATATAATATAAGTATTTAGGTATAATAAAAATTATGATTTCATAGAAATAAATTAGTCCTTGTCAAAGGGACATGAAAATTATTTGATTTAGTATGATTAAACAAAATCACACCCAATCACATAATTTTGCTTCACTCATATTACGTTATTACACGTATTCTGTTTTACTTTTTTTTAGTAATATGTTAAAGTGCAAAGTAAATTGTTAACTCTAGTAGCATGTTAAAGTGCAAAATAAAGTAAGTGTTAGAGTATGATAAAGTGTAAAATAATTATAAATTAAATAATGTCAATTGTATAAATAAGTTTGACATTAAAATTTTTTTTTGTTATGGGTTCAAAAAGAGTTTCGTTAAGTGGTAGAGCAATTAAAATGATTCATAAGTTTATTTAAAAAAAAAAAATCTATAATCACAAATTATTTAACAATCTTTATAATTGCTCAGGTAACTATTTAAAGTAGCTTTTTAAAAATAATATCTTAATAATAGCAATAGTAGCTAATACTGTAAAAACAAACTAGTTTTTATTAAAAAATATTGGGCAGACGATGAAAATTTCTTGTTATTTTTCACTGTTTGCCTAATATTGTATACCTCTGCTATTCTTTAGAGTTAAGTTTCATATATGAAGCTTTTATTTCCTAAAATAGCGAATTTAAAATTATTTAATTTGATTGGTTAATATTTATCAAATTTAATTTCTAGATCCAGTTCAGACTTAACAATGATTTTATTTTATATGACTTTATTACTTAAAAAATTAAACATGTTAAAAAATCCATAGTTCTTTTTGATTTAAAATACCTGAAAATGAGATCTTTGTTACCAAAGTGAATAAAAAAATATGTGATTTTTATTAGAATCCTAGAGTAATGAAAGATATATAATTTGTTCAAAAATTATTAATGTGGTGTGAAAAAGAATACAGAAATCAGAAGAAATATTATCTGAGTGGATGAAATCTAATAAAAAAAGAAATGTTCAATAAATATATTAATACAGGGGTATTTTATTATT